TAATTCTGAAAATATCAGTCTTACAGACAGTTGGTAGGATTTCTTGGACAGGGGATCAAACAAACGCAGACATTCATGCCTCCAGTGGGATTCGATACCACGATCTCAGTCTTCGAGAAGTGAAGACATTTCGTGTCTTAAACCGCGCGGCCACTGTGAAATATCCCTTATGTCTGGCCATTGTACAAACGACACTTTGCATGAACCCTCAATGATCTTTATGCTTGAATACTGTGTATTCATTCATATAGTCTGATGACTACTATCTTCTGGGATGTGACACCGTATAGTCTGATAGAAGTTTACTGACGTTTCAAAGGAGCATACTGTCTCCATCTTCAGGAACAAAGAGTAAGCTGTGGAAGCAATAGGACTATTCATAGTCACAGCCATTGTGGTCTCAAGCCTCACACATTTATGTCTCATTTAACGACATCTCAGATTATGCGGTACTGAATGATTACAAATGAATGAGGAATTCGGAAGGATGCGCATAGAAGCGGTAATATCTTACTTGAGGTTTTATCCGGCGATTTGACCAGAGAAACTGAGGAAAAAACCAAAGAAAAAATAGTTTTCAAGGGATTATATGTAGTTAGTTAGTTATTGGAGAGGGTGGGTTTCCCCATGCACTGAGACCAGTATTGGTCCATTGTGCTTCCCTCTATGATATTCTACCAGTCTCTATACCCTACCGATATTGGTGCGTACCATCAGTCCCGACCGAGCCAGCGAGTTCGGCCTCTACTGGCTTGGCGGTATCTATAATGCTTCCCCCATCTATCAGAGGCGTTAGAGACTACTGTTGGGCGAGAAATGTCCTTGAATTTAGCTCAGTGACCTCCTTTGGAGATATGAGGTTCTTTTACGCGCCGTAAAGCTACGACACGGGACCCACGGCTTAAAGTCCCTCCCGGAGGACTTGTTCCCTGAATTTTTCCGCCCTTAAAAATTCCACGACCTCCGCCGGGTTTGAACCCGCGTACCACGAGTCATTAGGCAGGGCTTATATGTAAGTGTATAATGAAATAGCTTCTGTCCCCTCCACGGCTTTGAAATAGATCCTGTCGGTGGCCATAGAGCAATATCTTTAGTTCGAAACAGTCTGTAGCCATAAACGCACAGTCATGAAGTATAGAAAGAAAATTGCGATGCGCATGAGCATGAGGATATGCGTGCACGTATCGAGTTCCTTGGGGTCGAATATCTTGAATATAATTACGTTACGAAGTGAACAGTGTCAGGAAGAATGTGATTTATTATTGTGAGCGGCCAGAGCATATGACCATCTGTTTCATGATAATCACAGATGGATTAAGATTACGTGAACCTATTACAATTAATTGTATTCGAAATAAATGAAGCGCCCTTGGCACACACAGAGCAACTACCGTATGTTGTTCATAAACACACGGAATGTGAATTTATATAACT